CCAAAGGGGAAAAAAACAAAAACCGTTAGTAATCAAGATAAATAATACTTTCATGCAATATTTTTTAAAAATCAAAATTAATGCAAAAATCCCCACAGTGAACAAAATTTTAAAATTTTAAAGAAAGACATGTACTTCCATGGTCCTGTTTCTTGCCTTGTCTTTCTGGAAATGCTGAGCACTTTGGAGAAGGGTGGTTCCCAGCAGAAGGCAGGCCCGGGCTCTGGGTGGGCAGGGAGACAGGAGAGGGGAGCTAAGAGAACATACGTGGGGATCCATTTTGCACGGGAAATCCTTGCAGATGCCCCAACCAGCTACGGGTCCCCAGTTGCTGAGGGACCACCTAGACATAAAAAGTGGACTTGGCACAGTTTTGGGATTTTCTGCCTTCCCTGCTGCTCCAGGGCCACTGGAGCTGCGGGTGGACAGAGGGGTCCTGACCACCGAGCACAGGTCTGCTGCAGAGAGAGAAGGAAGAGGGGAAGGTGTGCTTGGGGTTCCCGAGGAGCCACGTTGGTGAGGAAGGCCACCCAAAGCTCAGTGAGGTGCTTATCCAGCGAGAAAGATACAGCCTGTGTAGGAGAAACTTGTTTGTACTTGCTTGTGCCTGCTTTTTCCATCTTTCGCCTTGTTCTGTTTTAAAAATGAACTTTCCAGTTCACAAATGAGATTCTAAAAGTGAAAATATGGAAAATATTCAACTTCGCTAATAATTGAAAAATCCAGATTAAAACAGCACTGAGATTACATTTTTCACCTATCAAACTTAGCAAGTCAAAGTATNTTGCGCTCTTCCTGGGCGAGGCAGATCAGTCTGCTGCATATTTCTAACTGTACTTATCACTCTATATTTAATCATCTGTTTCCTTGCCTGTCTTCATAGTTAGACTATGGTCAGCTTCTGTCTTATTCACTTATGTGTCCCTGGAGCTTGACACGGTTCTGAGAACAGAGGATATGCTGAATAAATGTCTAACAAGTGGTCAGACATTTATATAATTTACGAAGTGATCCCCCCAATAAGTCTATTACCCATGTGACACCATACATAGTTATTACAATATTATTGACTATATTCTCTATATTCTCTGCAGTCCTGGCTCTGCTTCTTTCAAGCTGAGGGATGTGCCCTTGTTTACATTACTCAGCCTTCCTGAGCTTAGTATCCTCATCTGTAAAATGATAATTATACTTAAATATATATATATGTATTTTGAAAACACTTTATACAGTCAAGTTTGTTGAGCTCATCCTTTGTGATTTCATCTATTACACACCAAGGTTTAAAACTCCTCCCTGCGTTGAAAACTTGAGAAACACTGAATTATTTTTTTCTTTGCATCTTCCTATGGTCCGAGTTTTACTCAGTATTTCATTGTCTTTGTGTCCGAGCCCTTAGGTGTTCCGACATTTGCCGAGCCAGAGATCTGTGTGGACCTCTAAAGTCAGGAGAAGACTGAGCCCTGCCCTCAGAGGGCCTACGCTCTTTTTAAGGGGCAAACACACATGTAGGACACTAATCAGAAACAGGCTAAGCTCCTCTTCTTACACTAAAAGGAGTGGGTGATGAGAGCAAGATTCTGGGGCAGGTGCTATGGGGAGCAGTTCCTGAAAAGTGCTAAGATAGCACTGGGCATGCAGTAAGATGGGGACATCTGTGTGCCGCAAACACCTCAGGGAGGATGTGGCGTGGCGTGGGGCTGGAAGGAATACTTGAATAAGCTGCTTAGGGTAGGGGGACTGAGACCCCGCAGCCCTACCTGAAGGCCTTGCTTGAGTGAAAACAGTTGATAGTTTCACAGCCCTCTGAGGGGCCGAAATCTGGTTAACTTTTGGATTGAATTTTGCTGAGTGATGGACACAAGGTGACATGCTGAGAAAATGGTCGCCAGGGTCTTTCATCTCCNCATCAGTTACCAGCAAAGGCTGTGAGGTAGGCTGCCTGGGTTCGAATCCCAGGCCTGCCCCTTATTAGCTGAGCACTTTGGGCAGTTAGTTACTTCAATGCTCACAAGCCTCAGTTTTCCAATGTCTAACAATGGGGAGAATAAAGTATGTACTCCATGGGACGGTTGTGAGGATGAAATCAGAGTTTAGTACAGTGCCTGGCATATAGCGAGCAGTTGTGATTGTCAACTGTTATCAGCACAGAGGTGACAATTATAGGAAGTAGGTGACAGTCACTCAATTGAGAAAGAATGAAGAGAGAAGAAGTCCCCAAAGAAGCACTCTTGGTGAATGCTTGGGTTTGGCAGGAGGAGAGAGGGGGCAGAGAAAGAGGCAGAGACATAGGGCAACAGCCAGGAAAGAGCCACCACAGGCTCAAGAAAAGGACGTTCCGTGGAAGTTGAGGGGCCCATGGTCAAATTAAGTAGATGTTCCCGAAAAGGTATGAGTCAGCACATATACCATAAACAATCTTATTCAAGTGCTTATGTGGAAATGCTTGTGTAAAGGAACCTTTTGGTGGATCTGTTTGAGGAGGGGAATACTCAGTGTTCTTTAAAACTGGGATCCGCCCCCAAATGAGTTTGCCTGACAGGAAGCACACCTATGTGTTGTTTCTCATGCACCTTCTTTGTGGCAGTGTGGTTAAGCAGTGCTGTAATTTGTCTTGGTTAATGTGGATGGTACCTTGTCAGAATAAGCCAGACGGTGACCATGGCTGTGCTTTCCAGAGCTCCAGGGAAATGGCTGGGCCACAGGAGAGGAAAAATCACACTCTTTGGCATGATTAGACACAAGTATCTTTCAGATGTGGACATGCACAGGTGGCGGTAGGACCTGCTCCGGAAGAGGTAGATGTCCTCCCTCCCCAGGAGAGTCCTACATTCCTCACTTGGGTGTGAGATGCAACCTGTCCCTGTGTGTCCTCTGGGTCCTATTTTGACCCAGCCTTCCTGATCTGCAAGGCTTTAGGTTCAGACCAGATTCCTAGTCCGGGTCCCAGCACTCTACCTGCATCCTGTACACCTGCAGAGATCAGGGCCTCTCTGCTCTGCCTAGGGGAAGTCTTGGGAGGGTCTGAACTTGCTTAGTACCCACTGGGCTGTCCTTCTGGGCCAAACCTTTGACCGGTTTGGAATCTTGTCATTCCGGGGCCTTACCAGAGCTTCAACTGGTGCTGCATCCAGCTTTGCTCTGTGACTTTTCTCTACACAGTGTGGGAGCCGCCATTTTTTGTCTTAAATGAACAAAGAAGAATACAGGTTATCACACAGACCCTTCATGCTGACCCCATGTGCTATTTTGTTTTNGCTGGTGAAGAAGGGTCTTGGGTCCTGAGAATGGGAAAATTAGAGATGACAAACTATCTTTCAGGATCTCAGACAGGGAGGGGCTGAGCACCTGGACGCTCTGTAAGGACCCTACTAAGGGACCTAGAGTCAAGGGGAAAACAATATGAATGACAGGTCCATGGCGTTTAGACTAAAGCGTCCCCGAGGCTGATCCGCAGCCTGCACACGTGTCTCGCTGAAGCGTCTACACCTCACATGGCCGCTGGCACTGTCAGTTCTCAGGCTTTATGGAGCTGACACCCAATCCACGCGACTACCCTCTGATCAGGCGGGTACCCTCCATCACCCCGCTGAGCCTAGATTTCTCTGCGAGGGATTCGGTCGAGGGGAGAGGGCGCTTGTGGGCATGAACGGAGCCGAATTCCGGCGACTGTTCTTTCCACTCTTCCGAGGCTTCCTGGAGGGGAGGGGGCACCCAGGGCTCACTAAACTGGTCGTTGGCTGACGCCGTGGGGCTTTAAGTCAGCTCGGGACGCGTGAGCCGCAGCCCGGACTTCAGGTCCGGGAGCGGAGGCGGGCAGAGCGCACCCACGCGGCCTTCGGCCTGGGGCGTGGTTTGGGGCCCGGGGGCGGGCCTCCAGCAGGCGGTGCAACTCCGGAGTTGGGCTGCGGGACCACTGGCCCCGACTGCTAGGCGTCCCAGCGCGCGCCCCGGCTGCTCCGCTCTCCTTAGCACCCGCTGACTCGCCGGCCATGACAGGCGCACTGTTCAAGGCGAACTTCTGGGTAAGTCGGCGGGGAGGGCGGCCGATCGCCGGGCTCGGGACCGGCTGGGGCGGGCGGCCGGCGCGGAGCCGCGCGGAGGGCGGACGGGCGGGCGCTCCAGCTGCGCTCCGCTCGGATATCGTGCGCGGCGCGGTGCGCCTGGGGCTCCGCGGGGCTGGGCCGTCCTTGGGGACCCCGATCCCGCTGCTCACGGGCAGAACTGGAGCGGACACCCGGCCGCCCTTCCCTCTCTGCCGCGGCCGCCAGCCCGCCGCGCGTCCACAAGTCCACGGGTCTGGTTCGCAGGCTGCTCTCTGCCGCCCATCCCCCCCAGCCGCGCGTACTCCTGCGGACGAGTGTAGTCCGAGACTATCATAGAGTCTGCACAGCCACCCCGCATCTCACAGATGAGGAGACCGAGACCCAAAGGGAGGAGCAACCCGTTCGGGGAGAGCAGCCGGTGCCCCCCGAGGCTGCGCCGTGAGCGGATTTGGGAGAACCTGGGGTGAGCTTCGCAGGGCTGACAGCGGCAGTCACCC